TGCAGTTGACATTAAGTTCAAGGTTGAGAGAGAACATACAGAGACAATGATGAGATGAATGCAGATGGAGCTAAGAATTATACACTTCAGACACAGAGGGGATCTCAGTATTGGTTGAAAAGAGAGGCAAGGAAGAGTTTTCAGTCTGAGAGAGTCTGCATTCAAAGGCATTAGGCCGGTTAATTCTGCTCCCATAAGATAAAGAAAAAACATAATAAAGATGGGCATTAAGTTAATAAGATGTGGATTAACCAAGGACTTTAAAGAAAACAAATACCGAATATGAATGTATAGCCTCTGTAATAACTACTGCTCCATTCCCACCTTTGCTGGTATAAGCCCCATTCCCCACCGCCCCCACACACACCCATTCACGTACTCACACAAACATTCAGGTTTCCTCACCATAGGAGAAAGCATACAATAGTCACTGAGTCAAGACACCTCACTTCTGATGATACAATAATATGCTCAAAATTTAGATCAGTGACCTAAGACAAGCCAATGAGAATTCCTCCTCAGGGAATGTCCAACTCCAGCTAGAGTTCCAAACTCCACTTTGCCTCAGAGTGAGAAGAATTGAGCAAATCATTGCCCTCCCCGTGTATGCTTCCTGTGTATGCTTCCCCACACCCTGTTGTACTGCACCTCTGTAAAATATGATGACATGCACAGAGAAACAGAAAAGAAAAACAGAGAAAATTCTAACATCATTCTAGTCATCCTTGAGGCCAGCATCACTATTGCCTTTTAAGTGGTTTGTCACTTGTGATTAGAGCCCTGGCGATAAAATATCAGAACTGTGATTCTGCAAGTGTAAGTTGTCTAGGCACAAATTTTGCTCCAAAATAAATTCCTCAAATTACCTTTTGATTGAAATGGACATCTATTAGAGATGAAAAAAACACACACAAAAAAAATATTTTTGCATTATCTTCCCTCTAAATTGTTTACCTACTTGATTCAATTCTCTATATTTCATGCACATAGTGACTGAAAGAAAATAAAGGTTTGTCTGCCCTAGAATCTGTCCACAGTAGAATTCTCTCTTGATGTAACACTTTTTTCCTACATAGTAACTGATGCTTTCTGTGACACTTAACTTCACCTGAAGCTAATAAATCATGATTCATCAACTATAAGATTCACTTATTTCATTTATCTACCATTACATAAAAATGTTACTTTCACTCTCTAATTAGTAGCAAATCCTAATAAACAGGATAAAGTGAAAATACATTATTCAGAGGAAAGAGGTTTTTTTTTCAAAAAAAATTCATCGTTACCCTTTACATATCCTATCTAATAAAAGAGAAACATGGTAATTGGCGTACGATCGCTACCCTTCCCATTGGCTAATCAGGGCAATATGCAAATTAACTGCCAACCAAGATGGCGGCCAGCAGCCAGGCAGCTTGAAACTAACATGAGGCTTGCTTCCTTCAGTGACGGAGGACTCCAACGTTCCCTGCCTGCCGCTGCAGGCCTCTGAGCTGCAACTTTAAGCAACTATGTAACAAATATAGAAGCTAAACAAAACCCCAGAAACCTGCTTTAGTCGCCCAGCTTCAGCCAGGAGGATCGCAACATTGTAAGCAAAGGCCAGAAACCTACTTTCAGCAGTGGAGGCCTAAGAGCTGGAGCCAAGTCTCAAAGCTAAAGCTGGCCCAGAATAAAAAAAAAAAAGAAAAAAGACAAAAAGGAGTGGTTGGGAGCTTCAGTCACCCCCAGCCTGAAAACAGCCTTCAGCCCCTCACCCAGACTGGCCAGGCACCCCAGTGGGGACCCCCACCCTGAAGGGTGTGTGACCAGCTGCAAACAGCCATCATCCCCTAACCCAGGCTGGCCAGGCACCCCAGTGGGGACCCCCGCCCTGATCCAGGACACCCTTCAGGGCAAACCAGCCAGCACCCACCCATGCACCAGGCCTCTACCCTATATAGTAAAAGGGTAATATGCCTCCCGGCACCGGGATCAGCGTGACAGGGGGCAGAGCCCAAACCCCCTGATCGCCCTGCGGCTCTGTGTGTGACAGGGTGCGGCGCCCCAACACCGCCCCCCCCATGGGCCCTGCTCTGTGTGTGACGGGGTAGAGCCATAACCTCCCCATCGGCCCTGCCCTGAGTGTGAGAGTGGCGGCGCCCCAACCCTCTGATCGGCCCTGCTCTGTGGGTGATAGAGGGCGATGCCCCAACCCCCTGATGGGCCCTGCTCTGTGCGTGACAGGGTACAGAGCCCCAACCCCCCTGATGGGCCCTGCTCTGTGCGTGACAGGGGACGGTGCCCCAACCCCCTGATTGGCCCTGCTCTGTGCATGACAGGGGGTGGCGCCGCAACCTCCCCATCGACCCTGCCTTGAGTGTGACAGGGGGCAGTGCCCCACCCCCCCAATCGGCCCTGCTCTGAGCCCAACCAGGGGCTGCACCTAGGGATTGGGCCTGCCCTCTGCCACCCGGGAGCAGGCCTAAGCCAGCAGGTCGTTATCTCCCGAGGGGTCCCAGACTGCTAGAGGGCACAGGCCAGGCTGAGGGACCCCCCTCCCCCCGGAGTGCACAAATTTTTGTGCACCGGGCCTCTAGTCTATATATATAAAAGCCTAGGCAACCATTATGACTGGACGACTGAAGGAATGGATGTCCAGATGCCTGGCCAGTAGCTATGATGCGCACTGACCACTAGGGGACAGACGCTCAATGCAGGAGCTGCCCCCTTGTGGTCAGTGCACTTCCACAGCCAACCTCCCTCTGTCCCTCCCCACAGTCGGCCAGCCTCAATCGGCCCTGATCAGCGGCCAAGCTAAGAGACCCCACCCATGCATGAATTTGTGCACCAGGCCTCTAGTATATTTAATAAAACAACATTTGAGTAACCTTTTAAAAAATATAATATGTGATATAAAATTCTGAAGCAAATATTCATACTACTTATAAACAGGCTGTGCAGAATGAGCATAGTGCATACTAGTCTAATTGCATTCCAAATAAAATTAGCAACAATTAGGTACATTATTCAGAAAGCATTAAAAAAATTAATCAATGAATTAAAAGACTTAAAGTTGCCAAGATAATTGAGAACAAAACACAAATATATGGTACTCAGAAACACTAACATTTTTCCTTTAAATATAGCAAACAAAAGTGCTTTTACTGAACTTTCCCTAAGCTATTTTACATAATGGCTTCTTACTGAGTTTTTGGGATAATAATCTCAAATTTTCCTAGAACTCATCATTTTCTAAGTATCCTATTTCTAGCGATGGCTTGATGTGACAGGATGCATTCATATTAATTTTTCTAGAAAAGTAATGCGCTTTCCTTTGCTCTTTTCCTACTCAAATAACTGCCAAGTTTTGATAAGTACAATTCTTCAGGAAAATCTGAGGTCAGCACCCTGCTTTTATTAAACTACAAACAAAAACTCTCTCAGAGTGAGAGTGCCTGCAGCCTGCATGTAAGTTTGAAGAGAAGAACATTCAGGGAAGTGGGAGAGGAGAGGACAATTACTGACTCTACTGGAATCCTAAGGAACTTAAACCTTTCTTTCATGCTCATTGTGGTTCCAGAAGTAGAAATGAGAGGTATCTTCTGACCAGACCATTTACCAAAGACTTATTTCAATGCAGATAAATTTTGGAAAATCACATTCTTTATCAAGCTTTTTTCATTTCTTTTTTATTCTTCAATGGTATCATATATGCTATACATGGATTTTACAAATTTTAGCTGCTAAACTAAAAATAAATCCTTAGTGTTTTTGAGAAAGTAATATTGGGCTTGTGTGTGGGGAATTGGAAAAGAGGCCACTTCTAGAGAGTTTGCTGTGAGGCTCAGGCTTTAGAACCTTCTGGATACTCTATGCATTGGCTTTATCTGGCATGTTTTGGAGCCTATGTTTGGGCACATCTGAAAATGTGAATGTTTAGGCATTCACAAAGTAGCAAATCAAATTTTATTAAATATACTTTGATATTAAAAAGAAAATAATTGTTTTCTGCAGAGAAATGACCTTTGAGGTTTGGAAGCATATGAATGTGCCAATGTAGGATTCCTGACTACTGCTTTTCCACACCTCCCTGCCCTTTCCCTCCCCCACCTGCCTCTAGCACCTCAAGGCCAAGCCTCTCTCCCTGCACCAAAACCTCCAGTAAGTGGCTGCAACTGAAAGTCCCATGTTCTGGGTTTAGAGAATACAAACAAACAAACAAAAAAATCCAAAGCAAAACAAAAAAGAAATAATTATTAAATACATTTGAATAAATTAAGAAAAAAATAAGTGGTCAGCAGAATGATATAACGAGAAAGGCCATATAATTCCAGAAGAATCATATTTCAAAATGCCCCCTTTCAATTTGGAAATAAGAACTCTCATCACAGTTATAGCTATGAAAAAACAAATGACACCATGGCAGTCATTGTAGTGAGATACCTTTCAACAAAAGCAAAGCAGATAAAGTAGTATGATGGCCTTCAAAGTGTCTCCCTTATGAAAATAAACTCTTTTGTCAAAATTGAACATGAGTTATTTCAGTTCCTCAAATATTCCATCCTACCACATAAATTTTTGAAGAACTAGATTTAAATGTTAATTCTGAAGCTGGTGAATAAAATTTAATATTTCCTCAGCAGAGGCAAAAAGAAACAATAGGGACATCAGTTTCCTCTGATAGACAAGGGGAAGTCATATGATGTGATGGATGAATGATCATTCATCTGGGTTGGTTAGAAACACCACTTGCAGTTTCATGTCAAGGAACCTCATCTTATGAAAATGTAAAAATCTGCACTACCACAGAGAAAAGTTATAGGGATAATTATTCAATTACAAAGGATTCTTATATAAAATTATTCACCACAGAGTTTCTTTAAATAGCATATTTCCCTTGTGAGCATAAATCTTTCATTGATCATTAGCTGCTTAAAAGACACTGGGGTACAGAGTCTCTTAAAACTCATGTGTTAAGCTACTACTAACTAAAGATTAAAGAAACACTTCTCGCCGTCGCCGCCGCCGCTGGCATGAGCTCCACGCAGTTCAACAAGGGGCCCTCGTACGGGCTCTCGGCTGAGGTCAAGAACCGGCTTCTGTCCAAGTATGACCCTCAGAAGGAGGCGGAGCTCCGAGGCTGGATCGAGGGACTCACAGGCCTGTCTATCGGTCCCGACTTCCAGAAGGGTCTGAAGGATGGAATTATCCTGTGCACACTCATGAATAAGCTGCAGCCGGGCTCAGTCCCCAAGATCAACCGCTCCATGCAAAACTGGCACCAGCTAGAAAACCTCTCCAACTTCATCAAGGCCATGGTCAGCTACGGCATGAACCCTGTGGACCTGTTCGAGGCCAATGACCTGTTTGAGAGTGGAAACATGACACAGGTGCAGGTGTCTCTTCTGGCTCTGGCAGGGAAGGCCAAGACTAAGGGGCTGCAGAGTGGCGTGGACATTGGCATCAAGTACTCAGAGAAGCAGGAGCGGAATTTTGATGACGCCACCATGAAGGCGGGCCAGTGTGTCATCGGGCTCCAGATGGGTACCAACAAGTGTGCCAGCCAGTCAGGCATGACGGCCTATGGTACAAGAAGGCATCTGTACGACCCCAAGAACCATATCCTGCCACCCATGGACCACTCAACCATCAGCCTGCAAATGGGCACCAACAAGTGTGCCAGCCAGGTGGGCATGACGGCTCCTGGGACCCGGCGGCACATCTATGACACCAAGCTGGGGACCGACAAGTGTGACAATTCCTCCATGTCTCTGCAGATGGGCTACACACAGGGTGCCAACCAGAGCGGCCAGGTCTTTGGCCTGGGCCGGCAGATATACGACCCCAAGTACTGCCCACAAGGCCCAGTGGCTGACGGGGCTCCAGGGTCAGTTGGCGACTGCCCAAGCCCAGGGAAGGCCCCGGAGTACCCTCCGTACTACCAAGAGGAGGCGGGCTACTGAGGCCCCATCCTTGCAGAGTGTCTCCTCACGCCATCGTCCCGTCGGGAATTTGGGGGTTTTCTACGTTTTCATCTTGTTTTTCTGTGTGTTTAAGTTGAGGGTCTGTGAAAGCCAGAGCCAAATGCATATAGGGTGGGGGTCCCTGCTAGGGCACACCCAGGTAGCAAATTTCCCAGCAGGCTTAGGGCCAAGCGGGGGGCGGGGGGGGGGAGGTGGGGAGAGGGAGAAACCTATGCAGGGAGGGAAACTGGCCCCAAATGCTTCCGGTTGCTTCTGCCCCTCTTCTTTTTTTTCTGCTGATCAGTTTGTGGTTTCTGTACCAACAGAAGTTTCAGGCAGTTTTAACAAAAGTAATTTTTTGGGGGCGGGGGTGCGGTGGGAAGGAAGGAAGTTTCTTGGGAGAGGGCTGGACCATAGTCCCCAGATATTTTAGGCATTGTGAGGGACCGCGTTTCCCCAGGACCCTCACAGGGCACCCGCGAGGAAACAGGCAGACAGGACAATAGAGTTCTGAGTGGTTGAGGCAAATCCAGACCCCCACCTCTTCCATGCTTGTCCCCTCTCCCCGGACAAGTACTGCACAGGGACCCCTACTAGGAGGCCCTCCCTGGGACCAGCCCCACCCAGGAGCCCTGGGACCAAGAGATAATGTGAAATACCAACTGTGGACCAAAGGCAATAAAAACCTCTTTTTAAAAGGAAAAAAAAATAAAGAAACACTTCTCTAAAATTATGATCATTCAATATACTCACAAATCTATAGGAGCACACTAAGTTGATAGAGTAAGGTATGTCTGGAATGCTGTGTTTTAGCATTAAACCATAAAATATTGTTATTCTATTTTCCTAATTATATTCAAGCACAAGTTATTTTTCATAAAGAGACCATACTTTTGGAATGTTCATTATTTGGCCAAAATTCAAGAGAAAATTTATGGATGAAGAACTCTCTTTATATTCAAATTTTAAATGATGTGGGTCTTTTTATAGTTTCTGTTTTAATGAACATCAGTCATGTGGCACATATTCTTATTCTGAAACTCTTTCAATATTCTACACCATAACATCATTTGATAGGTTTATTTCTGATAAATTGACATTTACTTTGCAAATTCAGAAGGAGTTCTTGTTAACATAGGGCACTCACTGCGTTATTCTATGTTAGTAAACTTTAATCATAAAGACTCAAAAAGCTTTGTGATAAGAGTGCTTCTCAGAAAAAAGTAGTATCCCATATAATAAAAGCATAATATTCTAAGTGTCCAGTCATTCATTCAATCAATCAAAGTGTAATATGCTAATAATATGCTAAGGCCGCTCAACCACTTGCTATGATGTGCACTGATCACCAAGAGGCAAATGCTCTGACCTGTAGGTCAGCTTTCTGCTGGAGCCCAGCTGTTCAGTACTGATTGAGATGGTCCAGACATGCCCTGTAGTCCTCCTGTGGTCCCTCTCTGGCTGGTCAACTTCCTGTGTCCCCCCCCCAGCCCCAATCATACACTGATGGGGTCCCTCAGCCTGGCCTGTGCACTCTCACAATCTGGGACCTCTTGGGGGATGTCGGAGAGCCGTTTTTGGCCTGATCTCACTCAGTGCAGGAGCTGCCCCATGGTGGTCAGTGTGCTCCCATAGGAGGAGTGCCACTCAGCCAGAAGCCGGGCTCACAGCGCAGCGGGCTTAAGCCATCAGCTGGACATCCCCCGAGGGCTCCAGGACTGCGAGAGGGCGCAGGCTGGGCTGAGGGACAAACTCCCCCCCAAGTGAACAAATTTTGTGCACCAGGCCTCTAGTTTTCCTATAAAATGAATATAAGTATTGCCAAACCTTCAGGAAAAACTTGAGCGGCATAATGGTTTTATGCTTCATTTTGTAAAATTATTCTCATGTTCCTTGTCTTATAAAATACTATATCTGAATTTCTTTGGCTTAGAAAAATAATTTTTACTCTTACTTTCTTCTTGATGGTCATTTATAAATTTGTGTAGTATAGTGTCAATTACATGGTCATTTTTTAAGGAATGGGAATCATTTTCTTCTTTTACAAATATGTGCTTACTGTACGCATTTGGATAGACTTGTGGAAGAATTAAGTAATCTAAAATAAGTAACTTAAAATAAAATTTCATTTAAGTATAAAATTTAGTATATTTAGTGTGTTCTTAGAGGAGAGATGGACATTACTGACTAACTTATTATCCATCCTGAAATGAAGCCACGTCGGCTACCAAAGTATGATAGTCTAGCAAGAATATAAGCATGATCAATCATTGGCATTTGAAATGCATTTCAGGAAACTTCTATATACAGCATTCTATAAATAGCATTAAAATGTCTCAACTACTAGCAGCAAGCATGTATTGACTATTTAATATATACCAGGCCATGTACTAATCTTTACATGCATTATTTCATTAAATACTCACACTGACTCCATAGACGTGTGTATTATTCATGTGTGTGTGTGTGTGTGTGTGTGTGTGTGTGTGTGTGTGTGTGAGTGTTTTATTGATTAGGAAAATGAGGGCTCTTTGTTCAAGGTTACACCAGTAGAGTATGTGGCAGAGCTAGACTGTCACCCAGGTCTGTCTGATAGAATGGCTTAAACTTGGAACCACAGTCATATGCTGCCTCTTTATTGTAACTAAGATAATAAATAATAATAATAATAAATGTTTGTTTTTTTATAAATTTTGTGATATAAAAACACGTAGCCAATTTTGTTCTGTGTTCTCATCAGTTAAAGAGAAGGATTTGACTTGATAACTACCCCAAACCCCCCCATTCCCTAAAGTTCTTCATTCTAGACTTGTGAAGGGTTACACATATCTAATTTCTTAACTAGCCAGTAACAAATAAAATAGTAGTCTAAGTGCTGTAGCAAAAGAGCAAGTGCATGAGTCACGTCAGCGGTCAACAAGCTAGACCAGAATTAGACCAGGAGTCGGAAATTACAACGGTCTTGGAGCACTGGTTTTGTGACAACACTCTTTTCCTGGGCCTTTTTGTTCCTCCCATCTTCTCTCACTTATGGTCTTTTTCTTAAAAAAAAAATAATGTTGAAAGTATTACATAGGCCCTCCTTTACCCACCCTCCCACCATTAACCTCTTCCAGCCTGCTCCTGTACCCCCCAGGCCTTCACCACTCCATTGTCCATATATATGGGTTATGCATATATACATACAAGTTCTTCTAAGGTAAGAGCAAGCACACTCACTTCCATTGTATCTATTACAGTTTTAATTCATTTTAACGAGTGCTTCAACTGGTTTCCAAACTGTCAGATATCAATGACCTTCAGTAATTGTTCTAACCTCCATTTCTATATTTGGGTTTCAAGCCTTTCCTAGCAGTAGGCCTTAAGCATTTACACTTAAAAGGAAGTTCAACTTCTGCTTAGATGGAAATTTTTAAAACAAACATGCAAAACTGCATTTTCCCCCAACCCATTCCTCCTCTCTAGCACTAAAGAAAGGCTTGGATTTTGAGAATCTGTGGGATTCATATGTTAGGTAATAAACTGATCTAAGAATATTAATATCAGCTTCCATTTATTGAATTATCATTTATTGAAGGATATAAAATATTAACCAAATACTAATATGAAAAACATTCCTCTTCAGGTTACACTTATACTTTTTAAGATGATTGTGGTTTCGAAAGTAAGATATCAGACCACAACAGCTGTCAAGATTTATTACTTTCATTTATCATGGCATGATAAATTTGGACTGAGTAGAACTAAGCACCATCAGTTTAAATAATTATAATAGCAGTGTGTATTTGCCTTTACATGATTTAATTATAATGCCCACTTGTCTAGAAGCTCTCATTTATATCTAATAAGCCTTATTTCAGGCAATAGAACTATGCTGATCTGCATGTCTTCCTAAAGTGGGCAACAATTACATCACTTTTCATCTAAAACTTGGACTTTGGATACAAATCTTTGTATACAGAGGAAAAAGGCTATATATATATATATATATATATATATATATATATATATATATATATATATATATATAGTTCATTAGTGAAAAATATGTCTTCTATAGTCCCTGTAGTACAGTAAAACCAAAGTCAACAGCATTACATTTGCTCACGACAACCAGAGTAATTGTGGGTGGAAAAATCTAGTTGAAGCTGACTTCACTACCTCTGCAAAGGAAGGTCAGATTTATACCAATTACAGACCTCAACAACAGAGTGTTTTTTAGCATCAGTAGTACTGTAGGGCACTTTCAGAATTAGGTATCAAATTTAACACTTGAATTGTTTTGTTTCTAGTGTATTGATATTAACTGCTTCTTTACCCAAAGAAGGAAACAAAGAGGCTTCCCAATTTTAGTAAGATAGAGTAGTCACTATTCAGAAAAAGGTGTGTTTTGTTTCAAGAAAATAGCAACTGCTTCTTTACCCAAAGAAGGAAACAAAGAGGCTTCCCAATTTTAGTAAGATAGAGTAGTCACTATTCAGAAAAAGGTGTGTTTTGTTTCAAGAAAATAGCAACTATGAAAATATACTAGTAGACCTAGATAGCAAATGCTGCAGGGCTATATTTCACTTCAAACAATGATTACTTAGATGGTCACCTTGGATTAAAACCTCAACTAGCATATTTATAATAAAACACATTCCATGCACAATATATGCATATACACAGTTTCAGAACATATAAAGCATGAAAATAGAGTGCTTCAATAGCTAATTATTTTAACAACACAGTGAATTAAAAATATAATTTATATGACAAGGAATTTTCCTATCAAAATATGAACCAGGCTCTAGTATATAATGTATGAACATTTTTCCCTTGGTCTACTTGGAATTTCAATTTTTGCAAATGATAATATAGTGTAACAGGGCAGGGTATGTTAGTTAAATTCTAGTGTAACATTTTATTTTAACTAGCCTGAAGTTAAATTGGATAAAGTTACATCTATATGTGACCCTTTACAAGGACAAATGTTTAAAAATTTAAGGTTTCAATAACATCAACCACTTTCCTCTGCATGTTAACATCTGGTGAATCCCTGTTACTTGCTCAGGTACAGGAGTGTTTGCTTTTTAACAAACTTAACAAACGAAAGTAAATACTAAAGAAAAAGATGAGTACTGCCTGGCAGTGTATTCAGTTTGGTTTCATTATTTTCTCTTGCCGAAAATTTGGAAATGTGTGCCCTTTG